ATTAATGGTTGAAAAGTGTGTACTTACTTTTGGGACACCCTGTATAATGCGGTTGAAACTAACAGCTTTACTTCCCAGTCAAGCCAAGTCACGCAATATTTGGCAACAATCCAGGAGCAAGCTAGCGCACGGAGGCGCGAAAGGCGCGAAGCGGCAACCCTTTAAAGTGAGGTTGTGAGAAAAACGTGGCAACGAGAAACATGACGACACTATCTAATTAAAAGCACTTTCCTCTGGGGAGAGAGATGAGAGCTGCTTACAAAATCTAAACTTGACAATTCTAACTACAATCACGTACAAGAATTTGCAGTAATATGTGCAGGAAAGTCAGTTTACGATGATGATATCACACTTTACATTAGTGCAGACAAAGCATAAAGGTCCGGGCAAGAAACCGATTTTAAGATTTTTCGCATACCTGGGCTTATTCGCTATGCTGAATCCGAAAATACACTGGAGAGCGCGAAAACGGCGGAAAGGGGTCTAACGCCGGAGAAGGATCAGCGGGTGGGTGGGGTCTTCCACTCTGTGAAGTTACCTTCTCAACTTTTGGAGCGATCTTTTTGTTGACCAGTGGCGATGTTAGGACGGCTAGCGGAAGCGAAGGTCGATTCTGAAGCTGGGAGAGTAACTTCAAAGTTGGAAGACCCAACCCATCTGCTGATTTTCCTCCTGACTCAAATCCCTTTTTCGCCGTTTTTGCACTCTATGTGGATTATTCAGCATAGCGAATAGGCCTAGTAAGTAGAAAATCTCAAAATTGATTTTTTGCACGGACACTGCCTATAAACTGGATTTTCTTGATCTCAAGGAATTCTCCTGTACAACCTTTTGCTCTTGCTGGTCAGTTGATTGTAGCCCGAAAATATGAACAAGCATGACATGAGCCTTGTAAAATGGAATAATGTTAACTAGAGAAAACTTGTCTTGTTTGGACTCTATATGAACATGAACGTGGCTTCTTTCGATCATTTTAACATGTCAACTTCGAATGAGCGCCTCAATTTTGGTGGAGTTAACGTATTGAAACGATCATAAGGCAGTTGCTTTGATGGTTCATAAGGGAACAATTCTGGGGGATGCACGATTCATATAAATGCATGAAGATAGACATGTGAGTGGTGCTAATTTTCGAAAGATTGCTGCACAAGTGTGTGAGACGGATAGTATGTGCGTTATTGTGTTCAACTGGTTAGCGGACAATTCTCACCAGCATTTCATGAAAGTCCAACTTTATGAACTAACGTCTCAACTAGCGGAACTATCCGTAGCAGAAAAAGTATAGGCCTACGTGCGCAACATCCACTGGGAAAAAATCACGTTGCTACACAGTGACACAAGTTAGGTAATGATAGGAAAGGTGCTCCAATACGAAACAAACTTTGCCATGTGATCCACATTAAATTCCCTTTTCCCATCAAACAACACATTTTGCATTAGAATAACAGTCGCACTATCTCTATATACAGAGCGAAAAATCTGTGTGTCTGTTGCCTGCCGCGTTCGCGTTCAAAGATATTAGGCCTTCGTCATGCAGCAGCCTGTATGTACAGTGACCGCCAGAAAGTTGCGGACAAGCCTCCCTCCGTTTTTCATCGCTCTTCTTCAGAGGGAAAACAAGGATGAAAAAATGTACTAATTGCATGAGGTGGTAGAGCTCTTCAAGACTACAATCTACAATTTGAGCTTTTTGAGAAACATGTGTTATAAAAATTTTAAGAATTCTTTTCTAAGAAAAGTCCGAAATTGGCCGCGTCACAATGTCGCGGACAATAATTCTTCGAACGCAAAAATTTTCTTTTGAGTCCTATTTTGAAGCAGAAACACAAGTTTTCCGGAGGGGTAAGCATACTACTATGAAATTATTTTTCTTTTTTCAAAAAATAACTTCTAATTTCCTTTATCAAGCCAAACTTCTTCACACGGAAACCCGTTCAAGACATCCCAACAAGCCGTCTGGATAAAATAGATGCTCTTTGCCATCCTCTATGCATCGGATATGTGCTGATGAGTTTCTTTGCTGAAAATGGCCCTTGGCAGTGCTTGCACATGACCCTACCTGCACCTCACCATTGACTTGTACGCTTTGCAGGCTTGTAACTCAGCCGCCAGACACTAAAGAGTCTGCAATTAGGCTCATTCGAGAGAACGAGATTTCCTCTATACGATGATATGCAAAAGAGTTGAGTTTGAGAAATTTCAGAGATTTGGCGGATGGAGTGAAAAAGTGCAGCCTCAGAGGTGATTGGAGTGAAAGCTCTTATGAACACCGAACAGTCTTAGAGCCTCGAAATGGATCTATTACAAGAAGATTGACAGTTTTGAACTTCCAGGATGAAATTGGTAGCGAGAGGAGCTCTCTTCAACTTTAGCTGAAAAGTGCTTAGACTACAACTGAAGCTGCCCTCTACCACCCCATCCGCCAAATCTCTGAAATTTCTCAAACTCAACTCATTTGCATATCTTCGTATAGAGGAAATCTCGTTCTTCCGAATGAGCCTAATTGCAGGCTCAAATATTGACTGCAGGCCGAGTTACAAGCCTGCAAAGCGGTACAAGTCAATGGTGAGGTGCAGGTAGGGTCATGTGCAAGCACTGCCAAGGGCCATTTTCAGCAAAGTCATCAGCAAATGTCCGATGCATAGAGGATGGCAAAGAGCATCTATTTTATCCAGACGGCTTTGTTGGGATGTCTTGAACAGGTTTCCGTGTGAAGAAATTTGGCTTGATAAAGGAAATTAGAAGTTATTTTTTGAAAAAAGAAAAATAATTTCAAGCTTGCGTTTTTGGGGGAAGCAGCCATAACCAGTGTGTAGTTCTTGACGAGCTCTGTATAGTAGTATGCTTACGTATAATACGTCCGGATAATTTGTGTTTCCGCTTCAAGATAGGACTCAAAGGAAAATTTTTGCGTTCGAAGAATTATTGTCCGCGACATTGTGACGCGGCCATTTTCGGACTTTTTTTAGAAAAGGATTCTTAAAAGTTTTAGAACACGTGTTTCTCAAAAAGCTCAAAGTGTAGATTATAGATCTTGAAGAGCTCTATCACCTCATGCAATTATTACATTTTTTCATCTTTGTTATCCCTCTGAAAGAGAGCGATGAAAAAGAGAGGGGGATTTGTCCGCAACTTTTTGGCGGTCACTGTATGTACGTATGAGCAGAATAGAAACTTTTTTTTGAACAAATTCGGAACAAACTCTGCACCCATATATTTCAAAGGAAGCGTGTCGTAGGTTACATTTCGTTATTGATCGACATCAGTTTTAGCGATTTTTTGCAAGTTTCAAGTTACGGGACTGAGAGTTGGCACAGGATGGTAAGTGAACATGCTGATTATGAATATGGTAACCGTTTGTATTAACAAGGCCGGTCGCAACCTGGTGTGCCAACTAGTATTTTTCATGGTTATAGAGCCGTTGACTTATTGTGACTGAGGTCAACCCGCCTCTAACTTCTATAACGACTCTTATCCTGTGAGCATGCAAATCCCTGAATAGAATCATCCTATGAGCCCTTTATATGGAAGAGAAAAGTAGTAGATTATATCACGAGGTGTGCAATCTATCAACTGTAAAGATAGCATGCATTCGGGATACGAATATTATCGCACTAAAGAATAGATACTGCGAAGATTGGAGAAAAACTAATGTGCTTTATTCCATAGACGAGGACCTTTTTAGAGACATTTGAAACCCAAGAGAATAACATCAAACTTTGTAAGAGCAAACCGAAAGTAAAATAATACACAATCCTTAGCAAAATGAAGAAATGGGACGATGCGCAGGCCGTGATGATTATCAAAGCCTTACACATTCGAATTCTCAATTGCGATTTTGAGTTGTCTGTTTACGCAGTTTGCTTCGAAGAGAAGGGTCATGGCGTACAAGTCAATAAACTCCTATGTCCTGGAGCTATGATAGAGGAAGAAACAATGCTCAAAATGCCTTCTTCGCAAAAATGTGTACTGTACGCTACGATTGTTTTATATGAAATGATTATGCGAGTGTCTAGTTGTTCTTAGACTGTTCGACTGTCGATATCGTGCTTTGAATTGCTTAGCCTCTACTAAAATTGAAACTTCTATACTGGCAGAGCCTACGACTTACCGTAGAAAGTCATCTCTTTTACTGCGGACTCTGATTATTCGGCGCTTTTACACTGTGAGCATGGCAAATTATGAGCGGGTTATTTGATTGTAGAGCTTGTAGCTCTGACTTCTTCGCTGAACACTCTTAGCTCCAAAACGGTCTTTTGAAAGAGAATGGGCAAAATCAATGAGATCAGAAAGCAGATCAGAAAGCACGTAACAAGTTTGAACCATGTCAACCTAGAGCCAAGCCTAGAAAAAATCTAAATGCTTGAGAAGTAGAGAAACATCGGATCATCATTCAAAAGATATCCTGTGGCTCCCTTACATTTTGAGTATTTGGGAGAACCACAGGATATCTTTTGAATAGTGAATGGACATCAAGCGTTTTTATACAGAGTTGCTGTACTTTTAGCCACATGCCATAGTTGATCCACTTGATCCGCTTGATCCACTCATCCACTTCGCTACTGTTCAAGTCAGCAAACTGAGCAATAACGAAGCGGCTATCCATTTGTTCCACTTGATCGTCTTCATCAAATTCGCTACAGGTCACTTCACTGAGTTGACCAATAGCGAAGTGGATCAAGCGGCTCAAGCGGATCAATTTTGGAGCGTGCCTTACCTCGAAACAAGCCGAGAGAACGAGAATTTCATGTTATTGCAAAGCAATGCAGGGCTAATGAGTATGAGCATTTCAATGCTACAAGCCTTCAAAGGTGAAATTAGCTCTTTTTTTTTTGAATTTTTATGTTTTGGTTGATTTGAAGGTTCAGGGTGCCGTACTGTTTCGCAGCCGGCTTGCTCCACTTTAAAATGAGGTCGTGCACTAGGAATATGTGAGGGGATGTGAGAAATAATAGAATTATAAAAATGAATCTGTTGTTTCTTCTATCTTACGATCCTCAATAAGGCACAATATTTATCCACCAAATAAATATATTGTTAGTCAATGTGCACGTGGTAATTCTGATGAATTAGAATAATCTACCTCATCAGGCTTAGTTTCATTTAATAAAGTCTTCTTCTCCAAATCAACTAGTGAGAATTCGTTTTTCTCTGTCGTTGTAGTCGTCACCTCACCCTCAACGTTACCTTCAGTCATGTTATTTTTTATTGCTTTTGGAAGATTGCATAAATCCGAATCGCAGCAACAAATTGTGATGTTAAGGGCATTGTGAGTTCGACATCCTTGCTGAAATAGATGAAAGTCGATGGAAGAACTTAGCTCTGCACTAACTACCTTACAAACATCCAGTAATCGCTGCTCAGTGTTTGGTGACTGGCAAGAAGCTGTAATTTGTGACAAGTCATCAGAATGTGACTCGAAGCAGTGGGTCATCTCCTCTTCGCATTCGTTCGGCAAAAAGCTGAGCACCTCATTTCCATTTTGCGTTGATCCCTTAGAACCTGTAAGATTCTCTTACTAGATATATGATGTTGTGGCTTGAGTGCAAGTCGCATTTTCGCCATTTTGAAAATGGATCCCAGGGTTTTACGAGCGCACAAGCTTTACACAGTGCACCTCATCTAGGGCCCGGAACAGCTACCGGTTCAAGCTGGATGTGTATGGGAAGGAAGCAAAGGGTATATTTTTGCGTTCACAGTGGAGGCCCGGAAAAATCGCAGAGAAATACTTTCAAATTGAACCCAACCTTTGAAAAATAAAAAAAGTAGGGAATATCCATTCAGACATCTCCACAGATTTCAACAAGCTAGGAAAGGGACATTACACATACTTTATTTTGAAGGCAGTGGCTGCAAATCGACGACTTCGAAGTAATTCCGTTTTCGACTCCCTGGATGAGATGAATACAAAACTGTTTTGCAGCTCTTGGAGATATCAATAACTTGCATTTCCGGACATGAAAAGTTGTTTTGGAGGGAAACATAAGCCCGTCTTTAAAAAGCGTTTGGCTCGTGAACTCCGAGTGGGTGGAGACACCCAATACACCTCAACGGAATTAGCTCATTGACCGCAGCAGCCAATTTCAAGAAATTGGATTCCGCCCGCAAACAGCAACTTTCACATTCAAAAAAGCTAGTTATTGATATCTTCAAAAGCTGCAAAGCACCGTTTTAGACCCAGCTCATCCATGGGAGTCAAAAACGATGAATATCGCAAAGTTGTCAGTGTGCCGAGCTACTGCTTTTGATCTCGCGCTGGATGAGAAATCAAAACGCCTCGTTCACAATTAAAACGGGTGTATGCCCTTCTGACCCGCTTCGTCCTAGCGCTAATTACTCTGCCCGGGCGGCGCTAATTACTCCGCCATTTTTATAATCTGTAAGAGTTTTCATATATTTCTGAGCATTAAAAAGCAAGCGAGCATTCGAATAACGATAGTGACGATGTTTGAACTATGAAGACAAAAAGTTGGAAAAGTTGCATGTTTTTTTACTGACCTTTTGTGATTTCTTCGCCCTTCCCATATTTCAAAACACCATGAAGTCTGCACGTGTAAGCTGAAGAATTCACCTAAGCCGCCCAAGTATAACATTTTTGAGTTTCATAAGAAACTCGAAATCTCGTTTAATTCTTTTCATCTGAGAATGTCTTTGCAGCCCAATTCCGACGTCTCTAAGGGCAGCATAGCTCTCGCCTACCCAAGCGCCGCGACTGCGCCGACCAATCAGAGGCGCGCAGTAATTAGGTTGCTAATGCTAGCGGTTCAGAAGGGCCGCCTCCCATTAAAACGACCAATTATATGACTCCAAATCTGGCGCGTACGTGCGCATAAGGAACTAGTCAAAGGTTGATTAGAACTTATGTGAATGGAAATTATGCCCAATTATTCCGCATTAGCTTTCATCTGAGCTGGGCCCAATCCTTTCCTCGCAAAACTTTTAAGAGAGGTTTTTTCAATAAACTATTTCTGCATTTTAAGAAGTTTTCAGAGTACAAAATGTTTTATACTCTTTCGTCTATGCTTCTCATAGCCCTCAAAACTTCTCATTGACGGCAAAACCTGCTCCGATCGCAAAGCGCGCCTCGAAGCGAACCGACGTGCGACTCTTTCAATTTTCGCTGTTCACTTTCACTTGCCTTTTTTTTATCAGATCTACTTCAATGTTCCTTGTTTCTGCTTTCTACCAACTTTTTTTGCAGTGCGGAACAAATCCATACCAAGCGAAGAGGGTAGAGATGGAAAGGTGGAGGGGAGAAATTGAAAGAGTTTAGCGCATGCCGCAGTAAGGTGATAGGACTTTTTGGAGTTTCTTTCGGCTATATGGTGAAGAGGGGTTTCTCGCCCTTTGCGGTTTTAGGGTTGAGTGACAGATGTAAAAATTGTAAATAGAGGTATGATAAAAGCCTTAAGGATGGAATGAGTAAGAGTGCCATTATAAAGCGCCAGTAGGCCCATTAAACGCCTTTAGCCGCTTTTGCGCATTGTTCCAAAATCCCATGGTCTTTCCAAAATGCAAAAAGATGGTAATATTTATGATAGCATTTCGAAAACCCCATAAAACCAAGTTTGGACAAGATTTATGGTTTCAAGTTTGAGGCTCTGATACTTAGAAAATGCACAAAAACGGCTATAGGCTGTCGAAGCGGTATGAAGAGAACAAGCATTACAACATGCCGAGATTAAGCGACAGTCGAACTTGGACAACGGTATGAAGGCACCTTAGAAAATAGTGAGGTGCATTGAAAAAGATGACTTCGTAAACTTTGCTCACCTAAGATGTTGAAGAGGTTTAGCTATGACCACCCCTTCCTATGTTGACCGCTTCAAAATTGAACATAAAAAAACCTAAAGTAAGAACCTAAACTTGCAGGAATGTGCTTGGTCTTTTCTTTCGTTTTAGAATACTGCTAAGAGATTTGATATCTTATATCTCCCGCAAGCAAGTACTGAGCTTTCGTGCTTGGTAGCTTACATTTCCTATTTCAATTTGCATTATACCCATTTACAGAAAAGAAAGTTTTTGCTAGCATATAACACCTTGTTCCGTCAAGGAGCAAGATGGTCACAGCAATTATCAATGAGTATTCTGAGTACTAGTTGAGACTCCGGTTTTAAAACGAATCTCAGGAAAGCTAAATTGTAGCTTATTATCTCGTAGCAAAGGTTTCTTTGTAAGTTTCTCTTTCAGCTTAACTGACGGCTTGTTCTCTATTGCAATAAGTTTCATTTCAAGTAAATTTCGTAGATCGGATTTTAATACTAATATCAACTCACATACCCCTCCCACTCCAGCTATAGTACGGTTTGGGCGTGCTCTTCCCCTTAACATTTACCTCTCCGAGTTAATAAAGAGCGAAAGTTAGAGGAAAGTCGGTGTCTAGGTAGTAGGCGTGATTCACTTGTATACGCTATGGTCTTCCTCACAAAAAAAGAAATATTCCTTGTTCGAAAAAAAACTACATGGTGAATACTTCTTACAGCAGATGCGTGGGAGATTAGCAATGAGGTTGTGATATCACAGACATCACGTGGTACTTCCTATTCAGGTAGTAAGCGTGATTTTGTTGTATACGCCATAGTCTTCCTCACAAAAAGAAAAATTACTTGTTCGAAAAAACCATATGGTGATTAGTTCTTACAGCAGATGCATGGGAGATTAGCAATGGGATTGTGATGGAAGTGAATGATAGGAACTTTTGCTAAGCACGCATGATTTGGCCCATTCGCCTGTATCTGACAAGGGAAGGATACTAACTCAGATTCGCCTTTTGAGATGATACACATATATTTTGAATCACCTTCGAACGCTAATTTCAAATATGTTGTTTCTAGCTGCTTAGCGTTATTCCGGAGCGAGTTATGGGCTTGCCGCTGTGAATAATTAACAAACTTCTAAATGTCGTAAGACGACGTATAGATAAGAATCTGCTCGAAAAAAAAGTGCTAGGATGTTGAACTAGCATGAGATTAATTTTTTCGATCTTGAGATGGAGCACTATACAATTGCAAAACCACCTAGACGTCGACACCGTAGCATCTGTAGCTCGGGAGCACGCAAACTTTGCATAGAAAGGAGACCATAACTCGCTTCAGAATAATGCTAAGCAGCTAGGAACAGCATCTTTGGAATCAGCGTTCCAAGCTTTAATATATGTGTCTCATCTCAGTAGGCGAATCTAAGTTAGTATCCTTCCCTTGTGAGTTGCTGCATACCAATTGTCTTTTTCGTCGAAGCGGCGGCGTAATCCTGAGAGCAGAAGAGGACGTAGACGTCGAAACGACGAGAGAGTACCAGACACGTAGGGTGCGCTCTGCTGCTGCGATAGCGGTGTTGAATACGCAAGCGCGCGCTTAGTGTGTCAAAATGTTCGAGATGGTGACTGTCGCCAAAGCTAGGTATATGAAACAATACCATCAGTTACCAACATATATTGATCCGCTCACATCCTATCTCTGTATTCATTGTATGCTCTCTTTGGTTTTTCAAGCTTCCCATTCATGTCAGCAGAGCTATTTTTGGAACTATTTTCCATTATTCGCCCAAATTTTGAGAAAATCCCGAAAAACTTGCTTATTGAGAGCAAATGCTCTGCTTTGAATTCAATTCTTCTCTCCAAAACGTGAGCGTGAGTGCGATCACTCAAATCTTGAGAACTCTCTGGAAATCTCGCTTTGGGCGGTTGCGGCAATGCACATGCTGATAAATTAGAAATTCATCTGATTGTGACAAGATTAAGGTTTGAAACAGCATCTATCGATGGGTTTGCTCCAACCCGCTTACTAGCGACACCTAGGGTCGCTAGTCTTATATATAGCTGAATGTCTATTTGCATGTGTCTGTCTGTGTGTACGTATGTTCATAATAGAAATTCTTATTTCTGAACCGATTCGGATCAAACTTTGCACACATACACTTCGGAGCGGAGCGAGAGTCATAGGCTAGTCGAGCATGCTGATCACGAATACAATATTAGTTTTTGAAATCATCCGTTACTTTTATTGATTTTATCGATTTTTTTGCAAAGTTTGAGCTACGGGGCTGGGAGTTGGAACCGTGGGTGGTCGAGAATGCACAGTACTAATAAAATATTAGTTTTCGAAATCATCTGCTACTTTTATCGATTTTATCGGTTTTTTTGCAAAGTTTGAGCTACGGCCGAGAGTTGACACAGGCGGGGGGGGGGGGGAGGGGTAACTGAGCATGCTGATTCTAGCACAGCGGGAATAGGGAACTAGCAGCTAGAAGTGGGGACACCGGGGAAGGTTTTACAGGGATAGGAATAAACAGTATATCATAGTGTTTTGAGAGGGACGTGCGGGGCTGGGTAAGCCAGCTAGTAAATGAATAACTCTAGCAGCTAAATTATCAAATCACGATACTTGCAAGAAGGAAAGTCTGACTCACCTACATAACATTTCAGTGCGAAGCTTTGAGCATAGAAAGCAGCGAGTACAAGTAGTATTCGCAGCGGCAGTTGACGTTCCTTTTCAATCCTCATTCCTGTGTCAATGTTCTAATTTCTTTAGAGATAATCAACATTCACGACAAATCTACATAGAACAAATCTATAATCGCCCTCAAGCAAACCATTGTGAAAATAGAACCACTCATCAGAAGATACGAAGGATAATTGGAGAATGAATTTCGATGACTGTAATGGTAACGAATGTAATAATACTACTTCATTTTTCCTTAAATTCGGTGAATACAATGAAAACTTCTTCAATTTGTCTTTGGTAAATGTAAACATTAGAGAACGCTTAGAACCGGAATTCACTTGTTTGCAAAGTCTAACAAAAGATTTTCTTCGACAATGAAACACGTGAGTGGAATGAAGAGGTTAGTCAGCTATGATATTTGAGCACTTGAGAGGAGTTCTGGAAAATTGAAAGAATGTGAACTGAAAAGGATAATTATCATTACCAAATTTGGCCATTTTCTCTCATGAAAGCAGTGGGGTTTTATACGAAATGAAAGTGTACAAAACTATCTTGATTTTTACAAACAAACAAGTTTGCATATAGAACATGTAGACCACCTTCGAAAATTCAAACCAAAGTATAGTATAGCACTAAGTTTGGGAGAAAATTTGTTGCAGAGAGTGTTTCATTTTATCCAGAAACGAACTATTTTTGGGTGATCTCAATTGAATAACGATGATCAACCAAAATAAGGCGCGCTAACAAATCTAGCATCATCTGATCCTGAAACAAGCAACAATAAGTGCATGTAGTCTGAATGTGCGTCTGTTGTCTATTGCTGTCTCTCATAAATTTTTTATTTTATATATATAAATTTTTGAGTGAACTATCGCATTCGCCAATGTATTTTTCTAAATTTTATACGAACAAATTCACTACTCTTCGAATAATGGTGACTTCTTCTTTGAATCTAGCAACAATTATCAAGCGTTCAGGATCACATATTGTGATGCTAAAGCGGCAACGAGTAAACAATTTACGATTTACTTCTATAATAACAGGAAGAAATGTTTTCAATTCAAAATGTGTAAATAATCAAAAAGGCTCCGTTTCGTTCCCGCTCTTACACCGCGTGAAAGTATAATATTTACAGACCTTCCCCGGAACTCCTCAGTCAGGGAGGTCTGTAAAATTTGATTTTCAAATACTGACAAGTAATTTGCCTAGGAGCAAAGTATGTCTATGAATTGTTTGGAAAGCCCAGGAAATTAAGTAAGATGAAAAGCTTTTTGAATATAGATGTGAGTAATACATAATTCAAGGATGATTATTATATTAAATTTCTCAAAATTTTGTAGATTACTTACCTTCAAATATACTTTTGATGAATAGATAATAACACTAACTTCAATACATGAGGGTCTTGTATGTAAATACATGAGTGTCTTGTATGTAACCATATTATACGTTGATAATACTCAAAATGAAATTAAATCTTATTAGACATAGACCATTCTCATGTATAGTTCAAGATACATAGTATGACTACCGTTCATAAAGACATTCAAAAACTTCATTTGATAGCTTATTAGTCTATAGTTTGTATTATATTTATATCACATTAATAGGTTGAACACTAAGTTTTGCAACTTTTCTCATAACTTCCCTCTCACTCAACATGGTGCACTCAAATTTTGCCACTGTGTTGGTTATTATGTATACTCTAAGCGCAGCTGCTGTCCTACCAAATTCTGACGTCGCAGTGAGGGTTACGGTAGGTGTATAGTATGAAGGGGAAAAATTCAAAGTTTGACGGATTTGGCTGAAACTTGGCATAGGGATGTTATCCGACATGCTGATCACGAAAGCGATAGTGAAATTGCGTGATAAGGGCTTTTTTGTAGGATTACTGTAGGTGTACGATATGGGTCTCACCCTAAACAAGGAAAAAGGCGTTGACTCAACAAATGAATATGATATTCGCATTCGGCAGGTCAAATAACCTTACTATGTGAAGTCTCGGCGGAATTTGAGCTTCGGACTCTTTAGTCATTGATGGTCGTTCCAGCAGCTCTTGCGTACATTGACTCGTTCGACTTTGTGAGGACGCCAAATCTCGACATGCCCCTGAATTTTGTTTCTTTCAAGGCCAAAGGAGTCAACCTCCAGCAATAATTTGTAGACGAATCCGGATTACTGCGCATGTTGTCTAGGCTGCTAAAGGCTTCATTTTAGCTTGAAACCTCAAAAATTCTCAATTTTCACTAGTTTTCGAAAAATGCTGAAACTTTTCTATTTCGTGTTCAAAATTCAGACAATTTGTGCTCGCTTGTAGCTCACATTGCATTCTACATGATGCCAAAGTTTGAGTGCGCCATGTTGAATGAGAGTGAAGTTATGAAACAAGTTGCAAAACTTAGTGTTCAACCTAATAAATAATAAGAATATTAATGAAGCTTTTAAACATCTTTGTAAATAACATATTACACTGTGTATCGAAATATAATAATAAAATTTGTACTTTTTGAAAAATATATCGTATCCTTACTGGTTTAGGAAGTGATGGGAGAAGCTCAAAATAAAAAACGAGGATGGCAAAGTTTACAAAGCCAGTCAATGTTCAAGTGAACAAATGCATAAGATCTCCTTAGAGAACATATTTGAGGACTTCTTATTACCCATGAGAAGACATTCTCATCAAGAACTAGTTCCTGAACTCTTTCAACTAGTGGTATGGGAAATCTTAAGGAGTATTGAAAGTAGTGGCCTGAAGTAGTTGTGAGTCATGAGTGCCTTCGTCTACTCTACCGACTTGCTGCTTTCTCGACCAGTAAAGTCTACAGATATCGATCTATAATGTAAACAAACAAAGATGACTGCTCGATACATGAGCTATTGATCAACTCGTTGAGTTTAGTGCATTTTTGCAGACAAGTTCACCATAATTTTCATTTGTAAGTTTAGTGCCTGAGAAGTGCTATTTTGGATGGCATTTTCCCTTTCCTAGGAATAAAGAAGGGCCGCAGAGGGAAGGAAGGGGAAGGAGAGAGAACCAAGCGGAAATAGCTTGTTTTTGAGCCAAAGGTCTACTACAAAACAAGGAACTTTCATGTGAGGATCCCTTTATGGCTTCTGAATGTCTACAAAATGATAATGTGATTTTCTATTCATGTCTTGGGCAGTGATTTTCTACCGAGGGAGGGGGAGGGGCAAAAATTTTTCTCAAATGAAGGTGCGTGGCGTTAGCCATGCATCCGAAAACATTTTTGGGGTGCTCCTTAAAATTCTTGCAGGTTCATAACCCCCTGCAAAAAATTTTTTTACAAGGCTGATTTACATTTTTCAAAAAAATCAGTCGTTTATAAGAATAAACAAGTCATTTGCACATTTTTATAACTCGTGTAAGTAAATTTCAAAAATTTTGTGACCCATGGTACTCAGTCGTAGCATAAGTTTTGTTACACTCTAAGAAAATAAGGTTCATAACTTTCTCGAGAAATCTTTTCTCACTTCCAAATTGAGTGGTGGTTGTATCTTCTTAATATTAGGTCGTTCCGAAAGTTCTTTCCGTTTTTTCAACCTATCATAAAAACACATGGAATGAAGATAGAGAAAAGCTTCAAGCGCTATCCGATGCATTTTTTCCTCCTCTTTTCAATAGTCATATTCCTGTGTCGCTTGCTTTTGTGGTCAGTGAGATAATGGGCGAAATTTCGAACCCATGGTTTTTACCATGTCCAGCTTTGGCAATTTTTCACAATTTTCTTTTTTGGCTTTTGGAGAAGCTTCAATAGCAATCGGATAGAGCAAACAAAGTGCAATTTAATGGAATTTTTTGGAAACTTCAACTGGCTTCTCAGTATTTTTTGAGACAACTTTTTCAGAAGTCTTCACTTTTTTGAAGTCACAAAACACACAAACGCTCCGAACATTAGCAAATCTTCGGATTTTGACACTATCAAAAGTCGTTTACGAGTGTCCGCTATTTTTACAAAGTAACTGAGTGTTTACCGCTTCGAAATATAAGATTTCGCGTTTTACGTGCACACCCTTAAACGGGTTTAAAATCAAGAGTTATGGGAATTATATCGCCAAAAATCCCCACAAATTAGGAAGAAAAATACAAATAGAAAGAGGAGGAAAAGCTGCATCGAATGGCAAATCTTGGGGCTAGCAATAGATGCCAAAAAATTCAGTCAAATTGCACTTTGTTTACTCTATCCGATTGCTATTGAAGTTTCTTCAAAAGTCGAAAAAGAAAATTGTGAAAAATTGCCAAATTTGGACGTGGTAAAAAGCATGGGTTCGAAATTTCAGCCATTATCTCACTGATCACGAGAGCAAGCGACACAGTAATATGACTGTTGAAAAGAGGAGAAAAAGCTGCGTCGGATAGTGCCTGAAGCGTTTCCCTACCTTCATTCCTTGTGTTTTTATGATAGGTTGAAAAAACGGAAAGAACTTTCGGAACGACCTAATATTTATATGTCGCACATGAAAAATCCGATATTTTTCAATTTTTTTTGAATTATTTTTGGCAAAGTTCAAACTTGCATTAATGAAGAGCTTAGACATCCAAACTGCCTCCATATTAGTAATAAAGTCTCCAAAAACTCATAAAAAGTTTGAGAATATGGAAAGTAAGAATGAGAGAGTTTCATAGAAAGAAAAAATGGAGATTTCGAGTGGCGTCACAAAATTGTCTTTATTTTTACTGTAATTTACATCTGTAAAGGTGAAAGTGATACCAACAGATAGTCCTTTGTCCATTGTTCATATGCGTCAAATATTAGACTTCGCTAAATTTGGAGTTTCTGAGAAGAAAGTGAAAGTGTCACAAAATTTTTGTAATTGCCTAATAGAAACAGGCAATTTGGTCATGGAAACATGAAATAAGGAAAAATCGATATGGAAAATGCTGGAAATCACGTCTGCATTCCAAATCAGGATCCTGAGTCTGCGGCGTGAAAAGAAAGAGAACTCACATTGCACACGCGCACCCACAAACAGGCGTCAATTTGCCTTTCGGATTAGAGAGTGAGAAGTGAGTGAGGAATGGATACCAGACACTTTATTGTCCCGGTAAGCCTCTAAAATTACATCCGGGTTTGGTGAACATGTATCACATCGGAATAAGAACTTTTGTAATGGACTTGGAAATGCGGTAAGATAAAAAAAAAGGAAAAATGACAGAGATAAGAACTCAAAAATGATGTTGTTTCACGGAGGACTTTCACAAAAGCGGATTCACAGTATTATTCACGACCTCCAACAATTTTCAATTTCCCAGAATACTTCAGACTTCCAACCTTTGAGGAGGCAGCCAAAATTTGTTATAGTACCAACTTATACTTTCATGGAACTCTCACTACAGTCCGATTTCTACAAAGAAAAAAGTACAAAATTTTCGTAATTTCGAATCACACAGTCTTCTCCGGTAGCCTTTCCCATCCCCGTGCCTGCCTTGGCAGTCCATGGATAGAATCTCTAGAATTACATGCAACGTAACAAGGTAAACTGGAGCAAATATAATACCTTGATTAAGGTAATTAAAACTGGACGAAAATTGTTCAGTGCATCAAAAAAGTCTGAAGAAGAACGATGACAGAAGAAAAAAATCAGTTTCCGCCTCTTATCCAAAATATGCAATCAGAGCTTTCGGAGTAGAGCCGAAAGAATAGACGATCGAATTTTCCTGTGCGATATGGGTAAATAAGGCAGAAAAAAATCTCATTTGTACATATCAATGTAAACAAAAATTGAGTTCTCAATGAAAGTTTGTAACGTAGCAAAAGCGCGTTATACAGTGTGATAAGTGATATGTGAATGTTATAAATAGTAATCATATAATAATCATTCAGTGCAAAGACTAGTACCGTGAGAAAGATTGGAAAATCTAGAAATGGTTTATGGCAGTTCTTTTGAAGAAGAGAGATATATCCGTGTAGCGTAGTAAAGCCGACATAGAATGTAAAAGTCATTCACAGCACATGCCAAGACTGATCAAGCACGAATCGTTTTCACATAAGTGTCCTTGGAAAAAAAGGTCCTGCCTGCAGACTGACCGGTCCCTTCGCATCTGGTCGCGGTGGTAGAAGCAAACACTGCTATGTAATCATATAGAATATAAAAAAATGGAAAAGGAAGACCATACAAGCTTTCATCATTCTGAGTTACGTCACCAAAAATCCGGAACGCCGTAGAAAAAATCTGAGATCATCAGTACTTCAGTTTTTGGCCTATTCTTGCAACTTCCGAAAGTCTGTGCTTTTGGTTCCTGTGGAGAATTATGAATTTCAAGTTCACTACAGAAAACGCTAAAATCACTTATTTTGCCACGTTTTCAAAAATAATAAGTTTCACAGAAACGTCCAAACAGCACAAACTCTTCAAAGTTGCAGAAAGTGAGTCATAGGTCTTATGCACGAACGACTCCAAGTTTTTCTGCAGTGTTCCGGATTTTTGGTGGCCTGACTTGAAATGATCGAAGCTTGAATGATTTTCCTCATCCAATTCAAACTTTGCAGCCAGTGTTTGGGAGAAACCGCTAAAATAATATACAAAGCAAAAACTTTCTTCTTTTCAATGAATTTAGAGCAAAGAAAGTGTGTCCGAACAGTGAGAAAACACGATTTTTTGAAAATGAAGCCACAGAACTTTCGGATCGAGTTAATATTCTGAGTGTCACAGAATGCTATGAATGAGGAAAAGATAAGCATTTCTAAGTCTAAAGAGCTATTTTGGCTGTATGCAACTGATCTAATTTGCGAGAGGAAATGAGGGTAGGATTATAGCTGCTACCTTTTTTCAAGGTACTTTCGGAGAGGGTTTTTCGGAGTGTCTTTTCTTTTCCAATGAAATCTATTGATGTAGCTTCGTAACCTAGTTTCCAAGATATCTCTGTTTTCCTTCATGCATCACTACTTTCTTGCAGAAAAATAATGACTGAAGCGTCGATAGAAGCTTTTGCTTCTCTTTTTGCTTGATGAACTCTCTCATCTGTGATATAAACACAAGTTGATGAGAACAAAATTTTGTGAACACTTCGTTGCTCCAACATACTTGGGTTCCAACTACTAAGAAGATAGTTGTTATATCCATTTTATATGCTCTGCGTATTGAGACACGTCTACTTACTTCATTTATTTATGCTTTCATGGTACACCAGAAAAGAAAAAGAAACAAGAAAATATTACCTTCACTATTTGGTTAGAACCTTTCTTTATCTAATTAACATTCGAGGCAAACGTCATTTGTTAAACTGGTCCCTGCTGGATATGAAATATCTCGATAGGATAGGATAGAAATTATCAAATCTTATGTCACCATAGATCATACATCATTAACCTGATTTTGCGAACAAAGGTATTTATAAGGGCGAAAATCAGGCGCATTGCGCCATTATCTGTCACTGATTTTAACCAAATTTAATTTGTTTGCAACATAACTGAAATTTTGTTGCAGGTATGAACTCTCTGCTGGCCTATACAATATTATTTACTATTATGCTTTGTGCAAATGCCCAGTTGGGACTCGGACTCTATGGATCTCCCTATGGATTGTATGGACCTGGCTACGGATTCGGACCTTACGGATTGTACACACCCTACAGCCCAATCAGAACAGCCATAGCAGCATCTTTACTCACTGGTGCTCTTGGCAAGTAATCCCGTCAACACATCACCTTGTACATATAAATATTATCTAATCACCATTGATTTCATCTCTTCACATATTTACAAGAAAACATGAGGTTTCGATATCCTACTAGACAAGGTTGGCGCTGGGGCGCGATATCTAACAATTATGAGAAAAATGAGAGCAACAAACGGTAGAGTGGGCCTATATGTTGTCATGCTCAGAAATAGATTCTTGACCGAGGCATCCGTTTATGATAGAGAAATCCAAAACCTATCTGAGTAGCTATATGCTCCGTAGATGGCCGTCTAAGACAGACTAATTTTGGAAAAGGTATTCGCACTTCACATAAGTTTGCAAAACGTTATACATAATTCTTCCACAAACAATATTCTATGCGTTCAATCCAAACTTGGCATAGGCTGTGCCTACGCTGTAAACAAGGAATCTGTTCATTTCACCGAGCTTTCAAATCTCGCGCGCTTTTCGCAAGACGAAAGGAGCTTGTCAATCTGCCTTTAATGACTACTTTTATTTTCAAATTACTCACATTTTTCTTTTCGGTAAACTTAGCTCTGGCCTCAAATATTATAATGAGGACGCGTGCTTGTGTTCGATTAATCTTAGCTTGTTCTTAATTCAGAGAAACTAAAGGGCTTTGGTAATTAATGAGGTAACGGCTGGCAGCTAACATTCTGAGTGGAACTATAATAAACAATTCTTAAACGTTTAGCAATTAGCATGTAGGTGTTATTTAACAATTTTTGAACGACTTTTGAACAGCACAATCTACCGTGGTTGCGCTCCCAAGAACGATATTCCCTTTGCTTTTTGTTCCAAAAGCGTAGGTCAGCGTGAGTCCAGGTCTATGCCGGTCCTGAGCCAGGCGAAGAAGGACATTCCAGCTAGTAATAAGTGCTATTGTAACTTTGACTTCGTTCATAGTGTTCTTTTCACGCAATCATGCATCCCAGCGGAGATCAAATCAAAGGACCGTAAAAGAAATAGGATGAATCGTAGACAGTGCACATAAAAGTCTGTACGAAATGTTAAGCGTAAAATCTACAAGATTTTTAATGCTGATACTGTAAATTTTTCTACAAAAAGCCAAAAGTCAGAGGATTATCGAGTAATGGGTGATTACATGAGTTTGGTGCACTTAACGAAAAAATTCTCAATAACTTCCTCAAAAAATTTCCTCAGTTCTAAATAATGCGAAACGTTGTGAATTTTCGTACATCACTACTTAAAAACTAAAAACCTACTCAAAAATATGTCTTTTTGATTCCATGAAAGTTCTACAAATCACTTTCGGCAAATTCCCAGCTCAAAAAGGTTAAATTTCCGAACTGCCTTCTTTCTCTGGTAATGCTCCCGAATCCCATAAGAATGAGAATTTCAAAATAAAAACAGTGAAAAAATGGAGGTTGAAATACTCTTGAAAAATTGCGTTTGTATTTTTACAGTAACTTATTTCCGGAAAGGCAAAAATGATGTTAATGGATAGCCATTAATCTCCATATGTCTAGATATGAGACTTTGCCAAACTTTCCAGAAATTTCCAGAGAAAGACGAAGAATTGTAAGACAATTTATATAACAACCAAATATATACAGTGTCCCAAAAAGATGTGCACACTGTTTGATCGTTAATAACTCTCTTTCTAGCATGTCTTTTGCCAAGCTTGAAGCACCATTCTGTAGAGCAGAGTCCAACTTAGATTTACAGTATCGAGCAAATCACCAGTCACTCTTCATTGTTGTAGGATTACGGTCTGAACTTTCAGCATACAGCGTCACTGTGGAATAGGCTTTTTGACGAAATTATTTCAAAAAATCTGAAAATTTGTGTGGCAAGGTTTTCAAGAGTGCTGATTTCACTGCATGAGTTTTCATGAGTTTTTCGAGCTTTCTTGATGGGTATTCACATTTCTGACGAACGTTGGAAAAAGCAGATGTTACCTTGAATCTGAAATAACTTATGAAAGAAGCACTATACCGAAGTGCAAATTTCACATTTAGAGTCAGCGACTTCGACTAGTCCAGTACAAGAGTTTCTGGCTTGTTTGGTTTCCTTTCTGAGGCAAAAATCGACAAAAAACCGCTTTCAATGGCATAAAATCTTCCTCGAAGTTCCTACCGTAATCCTACAGTAACGAAGAGAGATCGGTGATTCGCTCCATACTACAAATCTAAGTTGAAACTCGCTCTACGGAATGGTACCTCAAGCTCGGCAAAAGGCATGAAAACAGGAGAGTTATTAACGATCAAACAGTGTGCACATCTTTTTGGGACACCCTGTGTAATATGTATGTCTGAATAAAGCAGCAATAGCGAGGTAGAATAACTGATTTCTATCAAATGACATGCAAGTAAAATGAAAAATTCTATATCCAGATGTCCGATGTGCAATCTCCTCCTGGATAGCGCATTTCATGTCCAAGATATGGGCCGCCTTCGATGTCACCAAAATCGAACAAAAAGTTTTCGTTAAGCGTCATAGAACCATTTTCGTCCACATCTATGAGCAGCATCTTTGCACCCGTTCTATAAAAATAAAATTTTTTTGGGAGGTGAATTATTAAAAAAAAATTGTACTCTGTCATTTTTGGATAGAATTGTTCATCCCATTTTCGATAAAGTGACGTGGTCACATAGAGTCTTCGTCCATCCAAGCTAAGTTGCAACATTTGTGGACCTCCTTCAATACGTTTTCCTTTGACATAACAAGCTGGTGGGGGTTTCTGCAAATATCCTTTAAGATAATTAAGCGATTGTATAGAAAATCGTGCTCTGGAGAATCACGTAGGGGCCGGAATCGAGAAAATAATTTTTCAGGATTTCATAATTTTGGAGTTCTGAAAGTTCACAGCGCAGCAAAAACAGAATAGATTACAAGCATAGATTACTTTTCGAATATTACTCTGGCATTTTACAAATTAGGAGAATGGCTGCTTCTATAAGGCCCTTAGGTTCTTTAAGACTTTTGAAAGTCGTTTCATTAGGCATGCCAGAAATCCACATATTTGGTGAATTGTATGATGAGATATTTTGAATTTTTGACAATATGAGATTTGCGAGTTATCAATACCCTGAACTCATGAGAGAAAAACTCACCTCAAGCTCTTCATCCCTAAGGATTTTTATTCCACTTTCTTCATGAATGCTACCGCCCACAAATATCTGAACAAAATATAATGAACCTGGCCTTATTTTCACAAATACTCCGATTCAAACTTTGAGATTTTTATTTTTTATTTTTTTTACAATATTCCCAATTGGATCTCTCCGCGTTTGCATATTCAAACATACCTGTCCTGCAAGTCGAATATTTTCTGGGTCACTGATGTCGTATTGTCGTATATCACCATGAAGCCAGTTAGATATGTATAGAAAGCGATCGTCCATAGAAATGAGAATATCTGTGATTAGGGAAGGCATTTCTGGAAGGATCCATCCTTCGACCTAAAGTGGACCTCAGTTACACCATTGGAAAAACGAAAAGTCTATAAACAATTAAACAACAAAAAATCCTCAATAGATTTAATCTTTTGAAGTTTAAAGTCATGGAATATAAAAAAACGTTTTTCTATGGAAAAGGTTGTGGATTGTTTATAATGTATTAGGTTGGCTCGAGAGTTTATAATGTTTTAGATTGGCTACAATACCGTGGCAAGCACAAGCATTATCAATACCTTCTATGAAAAATCTAGATAGACAAAAATTCGACAGCTTATGCCTTCGACCCAATTCAGATCTCCGACTTCCACAAATGTTCAAAAAACCCCCACATGGTCCAATGTCATACTTACATATTTACATACTTACATGCACCGTTTGTATGAAATTTAAGCTTGAAAACAAGAAGAGGTAGCTAAATGGCAAACCCCGCCTCCATTAACTCTAGACTCCTCCCACTTGCTTGAACACTAGCATTATATGCCTTATCCCAGCATTTTCTAGGCGTTTCATCAAGTATTTTCATATATACGAATGTTTGCTGTCATAAGTCAACAGTATCAAGTGAACAGCCTATTTGAAAGTTATGAATCTTTTGGGAACTAGGCGCGTGTAAATTTGCTTTCGAATATGAAATTATTAGGTTGATAAACCTTGCAGCAAATGTTCCGTTAATTCGTAATAGCACATCAAGGGAAATGTTTATTTCTACTAATATTTGGAGGAAAAATTAATCGCATTTTAGTGGTAACGAATCAAATATCATTGTTTTCCTATGGCGGCGATACAAGTTGATAAAAATTGTATATTCTGATTATTATCGGTGAGAATGATGGTCAATTGAATCTGAGATTATTCTGAAATCGCCTGTTAACTTACTTCAGTGAAAGAAACCCATAGTGGTTGAATACCTCTACAAACAATAAATTTGATTTTTTTTTTCGATTCTTGATATCGTTTCAATACATTTCCATTGTATAATCACAACACAGCATCCAAATACGCAAAAATGATGCAAATAAGATTTTTCCTGCTCAGACAACTAACCGAAACTTCCGCAGGACGTTTGGGAAAGTTCCGCCGGGTCACCTGCGGAAGTTCCGTAAGTGCACCACAACAGCAAAAGAGAAGACCTAAGCGAGATTTGAACCTTACTCTATTGACTGTGATCCACCTACTATCCTCTCCACTACGGTTGACATGTTCAATGATGCACTATAGCTGTTGGCGAGGCAACATCAGGAGACAACACATTCAAAACCCTGAGGAAGCACCGGCATGTCACAATCTGCGGAACCGCTGGCATTTTTCGGAAGTTCCGCAGCGCTTTGTAAAAAGGTCCTGCGGAAGTCCCTTTTTTAACCAATTTGACGAGAAAACCTCGCGGAAATTCTCATTTTCAACGTTTCTACTTTTGCAATAGAAAACAAAATCCTGCGAAACCGCTGCAAATTTTGCTTGTTCTGCGGAAGTTCTTGTAAATTGTTGAAGTGAACATTTTTTAATGTGAACTTTCTGCAATCCTGTTACCTGCTTTGGTGGAATTTTCGCGACACACTCTGCCACATAAGAAAAGTTATCACCCTAAAAAGTGGAAAATTTTCTATTTTGGTCCGCACTATTACATATGAGCATTTTCATGAGTTTTCTCACCTCAGTCTCTGGTTTGAGCAAGAAGACGCACGAGCCTAGAGCGCTACCCACAAATGCATAGGGGCTAGTGGGCTCGTGTTTGAATCTAAAAACTGATTAGTGGCAAAGAATCCTTCTTGCTAGGTAAACCTACCTAACTTCAAGAGGAAGAGCCCCATCGCTCATTGGCAATTCGATTGTCTGCAATTTTTCATGTGTTGACCAATCGAACACGTGCAGACAGTGACCGTAATCGCCTAAACTAGCTACCGTATCGATACAGTACTCAAAGGGCAAATACTGACCTTTTGCCACATCTTCAACACTGAAGCCATTTTTGATCACTTTTGGGCTACCCCACTCCGATGAGATCATGACGTCACGACGAGGCTGGTACCAGTAGTCGTAGTTGAAAGGTAAGCTTTTCTCTTCTTCTAACCAACAGCCCTTTGGCTTAAAGGTATTTCCATCGAGTAGGAGGAAATTTCCTTGAATGAAGATATAGTTAAACACTATGAGACAGTTAGACACTATTTTTCATAAGATTGGACAATAACATAATTCAGTCATTTACAGGAAAAAATCTAACAAAAATAAAAAAGGTTTGTGAAACCTTTTCCGTTTCCTTCTGCATCTCCTAATGTGCTAATCATAATATTTCCATCAGCAAGGCAATGAGATGTATGCGGGAATGAAACATTGTACTTGTGAAGTTCTTCTGGTTCGATTATCTGGAAATGAATTAGGTACGTAGTGAGCATAGATTTTTACAGAATCGTCCGGCTTCTAAAAATTTATAAAAAAATCGGTTAAAGGACATTTTCAAAATTGAGTCTTTTACATTCCCGTTTCTAGATTGGCTTAATGGTTGAAAGTGAGCTTTGTCTTACTAATCTATTCGATTATCCAAACTATATTACTTACTTTTAAATTTATCCACAACAGTCATAATCTTTATTTTCAATTATCTATTTATACCGATTTTATTCCAGATTTCGTCTCCCAAACAAGGACTGGTGACTTGATAACGAACTCAACACGTATCTGTAATAATCACTTTACTTGCTTCCTGCGCTGGACTATTTGAAAAACCAATAAAATTCAAGAAAAATTGAAGAAGATTTCTCGCTGATTACTAGCAAGAACTTTGAAATTCTTGAATTTTGTGTTATTTTAGTCTTGATTTTTCAATAAGAGTGCGTTAATGCAATGGATTATTTGGTCATATTTGAAAATTTATGAGCAGATACAGCTTAGTAGATTCTGAAACAATTTATATGGCATAAATCCAGTTCTATGCTGCTTATGCACAAGGTTATGAATTTACGACGACTCAAAAGAGATCCCAAATAATGCACGTCTAATAAGGAGTGGAACTTGAGATTAGCAATACAATGTATCAAATAGCGTCAAGAGCAATGGCAGCAGCTCTATAAACTCTATTATCTCAATTTAAATGAGTCAGACACATCAAGATGATGTCATCGGTAGCGTTTAGCGAAGAAAATAGTGACAATGGATACGGCGTTACAGCGGTTCGGCAATCGCAATCTTCAAACATCGGATAATTGTATGCAGTGCTTGTAATCGGTTAGGAATGATCACTGATCAGAACTAATTATTGCACCAACGTGTGCTAAACGCTAATCAGTTTCGGAAGATCTAAGACTGAGCGAGACTCCTTGATTTCGTGAAAGCACAAACCCAGACCAAGCTATTCCGAGTTTCTGATGACATCAGACAAGGGAACAATGTAGAGCGTAAAAATCTACGAAACGTATTTTTGGCTCACTAAGGAATTCAGTATGCAAATATATTTGAGCAATTTTTGCTGTTCAACTTTTGGAACAAAAAAGAGCGAAATGCCATAGAAAAGTTTCAAACCGCTTCTCATAGTTACAGTAGTTTCACGGCTGACTTCAAGGTCCTTTAAAATCTGTAGCTTTGATGACGCACCTCAGAGGCCCTACTTTTTATAGTGATACTTTTACACATTGTCAAATACGCAACTCCTACTCAAAAGTACAGAGAAAACATTTGTGACGTAATGAATTCGATACTAATAAACTTTGGATATTTTTACATAAGGATTTTATGATGCTCATATAGGTCCCAAAAAATTTTCAATCATTTGGTAATAGGCCGCAAGATCTTCCACTCCTTTCTCTTCTTCTCCATATGACCCTAACACAATTCTCAGGTTTCGAGGATGCAAAAAAGAGTGTAAAATAGCAATAATTGCGATCCATATATGGGCCACATAAAGTCTATATAGTTTCCATGAAAAAGATCCAAAATGTTCATAGATACGATTTTTTTGTACAGAAACGAGTTGCTTTATCCCGCGCAAACTGATGTAATAATCGCATGTGAAAATTATTTTTGCTCGAACCGACACAAGCTTTTCAAAGCGCGTTGTCTGAACTGTGATGCTATTTGTTTGTTCTGATATGTTGGTACAATAATGCGAAGAAAATGTTGACCTTGGCTATTCTTCGACCATCCCAATCCGGTTTTTGTTTATCATAGGTTGCGCCCTTTTATATCTCAAAACCGATTGCATCTTAGCGCATCTCTATACCATTCTTTCTTTAGTCTCAGCCATCTTTTCTCCATAATTTCTGACTCCAAAAAGAACAAAATTTTGGTTTTTTTCCAGATATGAGACTACTACTCGCTCTTTCACTATTATTCGCTGTTCTGTCCTGCATAAATGCACAATGGGGCTACGGCGGGCCCTACTATGGAAACCCTTACTATAGACCTATGGGTTTCGGCAGGCCCTATGGATATAGCCCGTATTATCGCAGAGATCCTGTCAGAGGCGCACTACGAGGAGCGCTTGTCGGAGGATTGATTGGTGCTGCTGTTGGTAGAAAGTAAAACGATATATGAATATAATTGTACATATATGGACATATGATATAATGTTCCACGAATAAATAAATTGATAGAATTTTATGTCAATTTTGAGCTGAATTTTGAAATTCCGAAACAAAACTCATGTTATTGGAAGTTATGGTGAATGGGTAGGCGACTACATGTCGCCGATAGGCTCCACTCTGCGCGGACAACTGATACAAATCGCAATGCCTGTACCGTGTGGGGCTATGTGCTTTGTGGCAGATGTCCGTGTGAAACAGCGACATATAGTCGCTCCCCCCTGCTGGATGCGGTAGGTATCGAGTAGCCTCTCCTACATATGTACACAGGAATCATAAACGTCTAGAAAGAACCGTGTACGGTAATGTTACTGTAGCCCCACAATTCAAAGAAATTCTGCACGAGTCTTCCCCTTTATGTTTACGTAGAAAATGTAAGTTTCAAAAAGAATTTTCAAACGGTAGTCTTACGGTAGTCTATATCACATCCCCGAGAATGGGTGGCGATATTTCTGAAAGTTACTTACATGGAAAAATGTACAAGTAATTTGTTCATACTTGTAGACGAAATAATCTTTAAAATCCTGAAAATTCAAATTATTTTCGGCGGTAACTGCCACCACGCACCTTTTTTCAAAGTTTCGGTTTCGCGGATATAGAGCCGCAAAAATTGTGAGAAGCATTCCGAAAGATTTTTTGGACTTTGTTTTCCCCTCCCCCTCCCCTCACGATGGAATTTCTGCCACCTCCACTGCTGCACATGTAGAAAGAAATTCTGAAGTTACCGTTAGAAAAGCCCTATATAGACGTTTTACGTCTGCGCTAAATTATTGAATAGAAACGCAATGTGGCATGTTTACGGTAGTTGAGCCTATACGTGTATGCAGAGATTATCGATTATCAAAAAAAAATTGTCTAAATTTTAATTGAAAATTCAGTACGGTAGTCTTTCCTATATATCTAAGTGAAAACTGTAAATTTCAGAGCAAACATTCCTAGTCTTAAGTAGTCTCTTACATGTGTATGCAGAAATTCTGAACTCACTGTTGAAAATCCTATGTATGTTTTACGGTGATCCGCGCTCAGTTGTGCAAAAAATTCATTTGAGGAACAATGTTATCCGCGAAAAATGTATAAACTTTTTAATCGTCTTACCTTTTCAATCCGAATATTCCTTTCATCTTCGACATCGACGATGTAGATGCGATCCGAGTTCAGGCATGGCAATATTATGTGTGTTCTGAAATAAATACATCAAAAAATTGATTGAATTCGGCTTTGAGTTCGTGCCAAAATCTAAAAATTACCGTTTAGCTGAAGGTTTGTCATAGCATGAAGAGCAAGCATTCCATCCGCTATGGTGAACTTCATCACCATTGTGTGGAAATACGGCTTTGGACAAAATCTAGAAAAACAAGACGTTCATACACACAGTTTGCACCACCGTAATCCATTTTTATTACAGTACCTGGCAAAACGTCTCGCTATCAGGATCTACGTCTATGGCGGCTAGCATGTCATTGCCAGAGCCGTTGGCATGGGGACATGTCACAAAAAGTACCTAAATATCAGTTTTTTCTGGTTGTTGTCCAAAAAGGCAGAAATGGCACCTTTTCTCTTGGCGCTTTCATAGCCTCCGCAGGACTTGCATATCCAGGACCACAGCATTTTGTTTTTTTACAGCTCATACTGTAAAAATTATCGTGAGAAGTGAAATGCACAGTCCAGAATTGGCAATTCATTGATATCAGGGCTCGGCACGAGGTGGCTTTTCGAAAATGCAAAAAACGAAGTCCCCCTTAATTTTTCCAAACTTTTACGAAGTCTTCTTTGACCCTGAATCATAAACGTAAAAACCTTCAAACAACGAAACTTCGACTAAAAAACGTGACCTAATTTGTATTTTCCGTCCATAAAAAACGATGTTAAGCTTGCTATAAGCCATCTGTGCCGAGCTCTGACTAGATAAGAACTCAATTTCAATGAGTAAATATTTGAAGCGTATCCATTAGCCAAATACGAATTATTTTACTTCAAAAATCCAAGATATCTCGAACCACAAGGCAGAAAATTTTTTATATGTATCATAAATCAAGTTAATTTGTGTTGAGTTCCCAAATCAGCATAAATCTTTGAAAAACAAAAAATAGGATTTTTGTGACATTTTTTCTGTACCCACTTATTTCTGAACATCTTAATGCTAACGAAGCTGAGACGTCAAAGCGAAGTAGAATTTAAATTACGGCTCAAAAAATGGGAAAGTTTTTTTCTCAATTTTAACATTTCGCCGATTTTGTCACGACAAATAGGTTGAATATTCTTCCAAAGAATTAGGTTTAGTTATTTTGAGTAGTTTCATTGAAAGGCAAAGCCTCAGAAGGGCTATAAGATCAATGAAACAAGCCTTAATAATCTTAATAAATTTTCAATCACTCACCTTAAGACTGCAATTACATAATAATTTCTATACATATTTATACAAAACTTTATAGTAAAATAGTGTCGTTTTCCGGCAATACCTCAATCACTTCACCAAATATGTGTATGGAATCATAATGAGATAATCTTTGTTCTTAATTTATTCAATTTATATAGGGAAATGGGAACTGTAAGTGAATTTACCTAGAGTTATAGAATGCGTGAAGGTGCAGCATTGAAAATGTTGAAAATATTGAAGTCTAATATTTTCTTTCATATCTTTTGAATAACAACGATAAGGGAGAGACCAAAACAAGTGAGAAGTGACCGGTGCATCAATAGTTCACGATGATTTGATAAGGGAATAGGTACTCCATTGCATCACATTAGGTGGTTATTGACTTCAACTTGGCAAACTGCCAAAAAGTACAACTGACCTGAAGGGCACTGTTCACTCATGTATTTCTCAAGATGTTGTTCTCTAATCCGCAAAATAATCTTTTTTGATGAAAAGTGAAAGAGAAAAGAACACGACGATTTCGAATTTACGTGAATAAAAATTTGCAAAATATGTACATGAAATCTCGTAAGAGTTCTCAAAATTAGAAAAAATGGGTGGGGACTAAGATAGAATTTTTGAACTCTAATTGTGCTCGGGGTGGCTCAGCTCACTGTGCAGTGATATAACTTTTACAAATTCACAACAGATGCGGATCGGTGTGGGGCGGGGAGGGGGGGGGGGGCGGGGAAATAAGGGCCACAAATTCTTTGAAAGTGGTATTGTAACAACTCAGCTGTCTCTCTGTTTATCCAAATTTCAAGGGCTTGTCCCCCCCCCTCACTCCCTTTTCCAAAAAAATTTCCCGCGCAGCACCGCTACTGGTAGACAGGCTATGTTGTATTATACAAAGTCATTATTCAAATACTGCATTAGATGTACTTTTACTAAATCAGAGCAAATTATGTCTAACTAGTTTCACCAGTAATGAAATTCTAGGAAATCAATTTTTGAAACAGGCGTTCTCAAAAAGAGACATTTAGAATAAGTGTCCTGTGTGCAACTATAAGAGAAAAACCTCCTGTTCTTTGTTAATTGAATCTCTAATCGAACGAGTGGCAGAAAGTTATGAAAGAAGGAAGTTTGCTCGCAAATTAAGCTTGTTTTCACTACTAGGACAATTTCTAGCAGTAATCAAAGGAACCAGCACTACAAAATCAAAGCTGTAAAAAAATGCCCATAGTCAATTTTGAAACAACTGTACAGAAGTCCCAACAGTTGTTTAACAGGCAATAAGAATTGTTTGTAGTAAAGTTGCCAGTTTAACATTTGAAAAAATCTGCCATTCAACACACCTAATATCGAAATATCATCTGCTACTAAATTTGGTAACCTTCGTATAAGTCGAGTTTAATGAGAAAGTCATTTTAAATCTATCATGATTGTCGAGCAATCGATTACGGTAGGCATACTTACACGTAGGAAGCAGTGTATTCACTTTGTACCCCACTTTATATCGCTTCAATGACAATGTCAGCTGCTTCTATTTATCTTCAAAGGCATCTGCGTTGATTCGAACCTCTTATGGCCTATGGGTGGAAAAAGTGGGGGTGGAATCCGCAAAAGTGCCACCAAATCCCGCCCTGCAGAGCTCCGCCTACTCTAGAACTGAAACTCGTCCGTTCAGGATAGAGGCTCCCACAAATCGGGTTTCTTGGAGTTTCGTACCTTTTGCACTTCATATCTGTAAGGGTCAAGACCCCAGAATGACAAAAATATGGAAGACTGGTACATAACAAATTTTCGAAACAACTCATTTTGAAGGCATTGTCGAATTTGCGAGGATATTTCCAACAAAAAAGTTTCTACGCTACTGGAAGTTGTCAAAATTACCCGGGAACTTCTCAGACAACGTTTTGGGTGTGAAAATTCGTTCAAAATCTTTAGAGGAATGAAATAAACGCACATGTATCAAATAACTGGATATGTTGCCTAACAGTTCAGCGGCAGGAATTGAACGTCAGTGGAAAAAAAAGAAGAAATAAAGCTGATGAAAGAAAAGCAAACTCTAGATTGCTGCACCCAGGATGTAATAGTAAATATTCTTTGAGCAATAATTTTCCATACAGCTTCTAGCGGAAGGATTATCAACATAGAAGAACTCCTTTTTTCAAATTTTGGATTTGACAGAAAGCCTATAAAATTTGGTAAAAATTTAGGCAAAAGCTTCGTAACTAAGTTTTGGTGCCAGATCAAACCAAAAAAGTCAGGCAATTAAAAAAAATTTTCATGTATCCAAGTTTTATGCTATGGCCAACAATATCAAAAATTTGGCATGAGACTAATAATCAAACAAAATTGATTGAATGGTGAAGATGTGTGACAGAGCGTCAGGAGGTCATGCGCGGTCAAGACATCGCAAAAGATTGATTTGTAGCAACAAATCTAAAAATAAATTAATAAAAAGAATTAAGAGGAAAAAAAGAAATTGCTACATTCTATGCGTTTGCGCAAGAGACTACAGGATTGCTTAATTTTGGTTCAAACACACACGATTGAAAATTCTTTGTGGGAGGTTTCTCCTAATGCATAATGTGATATTTTTCTTTCAAGATTTCATTCTTTTCGGCAGCTTCATGGTTTAAGCCGAGAGCATGTTGAATAATGATGGGGTGTCACTTCAAACTTCTGTCGTGCTCTCTATTCGTCTGGACCACAATTTTCTGGAGACTACTCAGATTTGTAGCGTCACGGCAATTTTTTTGTGATTTTCGGCTCCTATGGTGACCCTACCGTAACCGCACAGAAAGGCACTTTTGTGGGAATTCATTATAATATTCGTGTTCAGCATGCCGAATAGCCTCTGCGCCAAAAGATCAAACGAAATGTGACAAAACATTTTGGGGCTTAGATATTGTGCTCGATGTATTACATAACTATCAAAATCAATGCTTTTTCCTCATAGAAGCCTACATTATTGAGGAGAACCGTTGCAAAAACTAGAACTAAATGGAGAAGGCTCACGCAAGTTTTATTTCTAAGAGAGAACAATCTGAGAATTTTAGAGCGTTAGAAACAAGAAAACAATCCAAAGTAATCAAAATCATTACCAACACAACAGCAAAAGACCAATAAAACAAGGCGAAGACGTCAATCTCGAGAAATACAAAAAAAAGAGGAAAACTAATCAAACAACGAGAAAATAAAGCAAGATTTAGCTTGCGCTCGAAACACGAACATGCGCGAGGTTCGCGAAATTGCCGGCATCAATGACACCACCTGGTAGGGTAGATTACTACCGGCCCAGGTGATCGCGTGATGCACTACTCTGTCCTAGCGATACTGTTTTGACAATAAACACATATTTATGTTTACTACTATCTCAAACTTCCTATGGCCTCTTCTCGTGTTTTCTTTTGATGTCATCATCCGCTATTACATTTAGCCCAGTTAAAACAGTAAAAGATTTAGTTTTGAATACCAACTAAGAGCTTGATATGGCGAACATCAAGCTCAACAGCGGAATAATTTTCGCATCAAGGAACTCCCTCATTCAAATTTTAGTCCACCAATATATCATTCAGTAATATTTATTGCACGGCCAAACCATCGTAGTTCAACTATATAAACTTGAACCTGATCAACTAAGTACTGAAATCTTTATCTTGTTTTTGTAATAAGATTAGACGAGAAAAAAAGGACTTAGGTTTGAGATAAAATTAATCAGAAGTACATGCTTGTTTTTAAAACAGTAACTTTATTGAAAGTACGAAGTTTCAGGGTTTTACCTTGTTTTGCTAGGATTATTTAACCCTGACAATATACGTTCGTGAATAAGGGTTAATCGCTTTCGAGGGAAAAGTACCCTCGAAGTCGTGAATAGATACGAATCAATCTTCTTGCGGGATATGGTTTGCCTTCAAGAATAGGTTTAACCTTGGAGATTAAGAATACCCCTGGCTTCGTGATTACGGGTTTTGTGCATTTTGGGGTAATTTACCCTCAAGGGTAAGGTTTAAACCTAAAGGCACTGTCCACCCAAAGTGAGGTTGACGAAGATGGTAACATACCACACTAGGACCCCCAATTTGCGCAGCAAGTTGCTTCCGGAGCGAGAAATCCGCTTCGAAAAAGACGTAATCCGGTGCCGGTCACTCCTCCCGGCTGGTCACCCCGCCCACTTTGCAGGTTTGCAAATGACACGCTCGCTGTACATCAGCGCCGTATCCCCGACTTGCACTGCGCCCCTCTCGAGAACGGGGGTTTTTGAGGGTTTCGTGAATTCTCGACTCCAAATTCGAAATCAGGACCTTCAGATGGCCCGTGATAAAAACATGGAAGTCGAGACTTTGGGTGAACGCTGCCTTTAAGGTTCGTTGAAGAATACGGCCACTGGACTGAACGAAAGTAAAGTCGTGAACCAAGAAGAATGAAAGAGACTAATAAGAGGGGCAGACCCCGTACAGTGGAGGTGTTTACAATTGTGAACCGCTTACGATTAATTCACATTCGGCGCAAAAGCATTCCTAAGATTAGCCGATTTTTGTGCGACGTATGTCCGTTTTCGGCTATCCTATGCAGTACCAACGGATTTTTGCGTTTCTTCCGAAGTCCCGATACAGAGTCTGCCAACAGTCAGCCAGCTTGTGCCAGTCCTATGCGTTGCGTTGGTTAATCTTTTTCAAATTCTCTCAACCTCATGATGTATTAAAAAATTGCATAAATGGCTGGGAGCTTATTAGACCTTAATTCTTTTTTGGACACCATTTCCGATTCAACGAACAACACATTGCTTGAAAAAGGCGATCATATGCGCGGGTATTGACAACTGATTATGATGAATCCACATTACAAGAAAATCCAGCAAGTTCATTTAAGTATGTTTCTTTGTGTTCACTATGAGGTGAACCAGTGACTCACTCTTCTTAGGGTTTATTTGAGGGAATAATTCCTGACCTGTTTTTATATTTTTGAAGTCCAATTCCAACACCGGTTAAAATGCGGGGTCAAAACTGCGAAATCAATGACAACGTGGCCGCGGCAGATTACCAGAATTTTATCGAACATTCTACTTGCGCTAATTGGGCAATTCGAGCATCAAGTTGAAAATGTGCGATTAGAACCGCAGATTCTTATTGATTTTATACCTTAGTATTGATCGTGTGGTTCACTTAGAGTTTTTTTTTCAAAGTGATTATTTATTAATATAGTAGATAAAGAAGTTTGATATGAGTTCCATGAAAGTTTGTGCTTTGTGAACTAACGCCACTCACTATTCAAAGAAATCGAAACTAAAGCTTTGAAAGGTGGCCATAAGAAATACAGGTATAAAAATGTAGATAAGCAGGATAGAGTTATTATCTGCTCAGCTTCTCCCATCGCAAACATCAGTAGTATCTACAGACATCACGTTGAAGCTTTTGGCAACAATCAAGGATCCGACTAGCTTGAAAATTGTGTCACATTCTTGAAGAAAGCAGTAAGCTTGAAAGCAGTAAGCTTGATAGTTGACTTTTGAGTGTAAAATTGCATTCTATACAACATGATAGGTGTAAATTTGAAAGGGCTTGGAATATTCAACATACCAATCTTTATTTGCAATCAATAACTGCAATAGCCTAGTTTTACTGCCGATTTTTCTTGCAAACATAGTACTTCATTTTTAAATCGCACGGGATGCTGTTCCAATGATATTCCTTGACATAAACAAGATTCGATGGAGCTTGATGGAACTGCAATCAAATTAATATAAATCTACTGTGCATCTATTACCGTTAACAAGCTTACCTGCGCGCATTTTTCACGATCAGGCAAGTCTGGCTGGTGTTCAGCCCAATTCTTATAGTTAAAGCCGCTTCCGTCTATCCATTCCCACTCATTTTTTGAATTTAGACGAAGACCAATATAGACGAACTCTTTAAATGACTTGATTTTAGAGCCAGTAGAAGTGATTTCTGCAAAATTTTCCCTTGGTAATCTAATCTTTTTTTTGTAAAAAAATGAGCTTGCTGTGGATAAAGTTGTTTTCTTCTTCGCTATGAATGGAAACCAGATGAGCGCCAAATTTTTTACATGACGCCTCCGCGTCATCAAAAGACTTTGCATCTCTTTTTACCTGAAGTTGTTACAAGTAAAAACGTAGATGACATTAATCTGCTCACCATATATTCTCTTCTTTTGAACACTATCCAAACATCATATTCTACTTTCCCAGTACCAGATGCGCTTCTTATTACTGTACTGCGTGAAGTCATGCTAGATTTACGGCTGCGACCGCGTGATCGTGCTTTCCATGTGGAAGTTGTTTTCCATTTCTTAGGTCTTTTTGTTGAGGTTCGCTCACGTGTCCGTTTCGTACTACTAATGTCCAACATGATTTTAGTTATCATCGGACTTCTCATAGGATTTCTGAGAGAATCTTCACGAGAAGTATCAGCGTCAATTTTGCTTCTTCCTCTCACAAAATTGCTGAGAGATTCCTGACGGGGAGTATCAGTGATCACTTTCTTGTTTCTTCTTCTTATAGGATTTCTCATTAGATCCCTGAAAAGATTCTTACGGCCAACGCGGCTGAGGGAGCCCCCAAACCGCGCCGTTTGTCGTTTTTGCCGCCGTTTGCTGCTTTTGCAGCCGAAGCGCACTGGGTCAGACTAATGCCCCTCGAGCACGGCAGCATTAAAACTTAATAACCCTCTTTTTTCAGGTTTTTATGATTTTTCTTTTTTTGTGTTACAGGCCAAATAACAGGTCTCATTGAAACCTCATTGCCACAAGGCTGCGCTTGCCGTTGTTGACAAGGTGCAAGGAGTAATGACTGCATTCAGCTGTTTCGAATGTGGATTTACATTGGTGTTTCCTCGTTTCTTAAAGATAGCGTCCCCTCAAAACGATGGGTGCCGGGATTTTACAGTATTCCGATGGTGGACCCTCCAGCTAATCTATCCGTGAAGTCTGGAGAGAAAAAGCGTTTCTGGGAAGCACAAAATCCGCCTCAGAAATCTTCCGAACTCCGCCCATTTCCAGTCTCTACCCACTACTTATACATAATTTGGAGCAAACGCCAACACGGAAAACTTCGAAAATGTTCATTTTTGCCACTTTCAAGTGCTGAAAAGCTCAGATGTAGCTTCAGCATGGCGAGAAGGCTCCGAAGAGATGAAAAACCAGAGAACGAAATTTTGCCGGGACGCTGCCTTTAACGCTCACTTTTTATGCATCTTGTGGGTGACGCAATTTAAATGCTACTACATTATTAAATGTGTAACCTGAGTGTAAGTTAGAAGATTGAAAAGGAAAGCAAAGAGTTGAGATTACCCCAAGTAGAATATGTTCAGTTTCATATATGTTGTAGATGTCACGGTTGTTTCTCATGCTTACGAACATGCTCGTTGTGAATTGTACAAATGATCTAGAACATTGTAAATACAGTTTTTCAAAGCTGTTAACCAATGTTGGTAGCAAGACTTTATTGTACGAAAAGCCAACGTTTCGGCGGTCCGTCCGCCTTCTTCAGGGCTTCCTGAAAGATCGAGACTTTGAGAACTGCCCGCCCAAACACCGTGTTTGGCAATGGATTTAGTTTGACTATGTGTTGAAGTGGCAGAGTAGATGTTGAAAGCCTGACCTCAGCCTTGCCAGATCGGGATGTAGAGACCGAACGACCAGTACTGCGCTGCAGCTGCGCTATGAGTGAGTATGATAGTTGGTGTCAACAATGCCCTTTATATGGTCATAGAAGATCTCGTATCAGAATCGACATAGCGTTTGACAAGAGAGCAGTTCACTGCTTGTGGCAATGCCTTCATCTTTGCGATTCAATTCTAATGATTTGGACGCTATCCAAAAGGCCTCCAACTTTTTGCGGGATATTAACTCAGACTCGTGCGACAAGATCGTTACAGTGACTTGAAAGTACTCATGACATAACCTTCGATGTGCACCTAAAGGTGTGGACATTTTAGATTTTCGAAAGCCGTCAAGATGCTCTTTAATTCTTGCGCACAAGGGTCTGCCAGTTTCTCCTATGTACTGGTCACTGCATTTTTGACAGGTTATGAGATAAACCACTCCCATTTCCATGCAGTCGCCTGCTTTTCCTGACGGGCAGATGACACAATCAGTGGTCGTGCAGATTCGTCATATACCCGACTGCGGCTAAGTTGTTTTTTGAGATTAGGAGGTGGTATATCTATAACTCCGACGGAATCATCGAGGCCCGCTTGTATTAATGATTTTCTGATAGCTCTGCCGAATTCATCAGTCACGAATGGAACACAGAATGGCATTTTGTTGTCTGGTTCATTCGATCGGTCTGCATTCTTGCCTACAGGTATGCCTTGGTGCACTATTTGTGGGATAGCCGTTAGAATATGCAATCTGTTTGGCAAGGTTAATCGATACGTTGCGCTGTTCAACATTGGACGAAACCGATTTTGCTGTCCTGAACATATTTCCTATCACGGACCGTTTCAAGTTTCAAGGATGCGCAGAGCGGTAGTGAATTAATAAATTCTTACTAGCGGATTTGCGAAACCATTTAGTTACGTATGCTCCGTGAGATAAAGACACTTGGACGTTTAGGAATGCTAGACGATTTTCGTCGGGTTTATCTCCCGTAAATCTCATGTTAGAAGACTGGCTATTCAGAATGTCAAAGCATATGTCTATTTCACTTTGAGTTGGACGTATGATGCAGCAGTCGTCAATGTATCGACAAAAGAGTAAGGGATTACGATCAAGTTCGCGTTTCTCGATTTTTGACAGGAAGACGAATGCGACGACGGGAGCCAATCTCTGCCCCATCGTTAGGCCACGTACCTGCTTGTAGTACCTTCCTGAACATTGAAATACGCTGCAATTCAGGCATTCCTTCAAAAGTGTCATCATTTGTCTAACGCTGAACCCATACATGTTGAGAGCAGATTGATGTTCCGAAAGCAGCTTATACACGGCTTCCATAGCATCTTCATTGACAACATTTGCGTACAACGAAGTGACATCAAATGTCTCTATTGCACATCCTCCATCGAGCTGCGTTGTACTGAGCTGCTCCAAAAACATTTTAGTACTTGAAAGATGGGCAGGCACATACTTTAGTAGTTGTGTTAAGATTAAGTTCAATAGCCATGAGATTCTATCATTTGGGACTCCGCAGCTGCTAATTATGGGTCTTACTTTGTAGTCTGATGGATTTTCAAAGAGAAATTCTGACGCAAGGAGTTTGTGTGTCTTTATTAGCACGTAAAGGACTGGACATTTGGGTAAATCGATCTTAAGATGCGATGTCAGAGCTTTGGGTAAGGCGGGAGAATAGAAGAAGGCAAGCCGTGTATAAGCTGCTTTCGGAACATCAATCTGCTCTCAACATGTATGGGTTCAGCGTTAGACAAATGATGACACTTTTGAAGGAATGCCTGAATTGCAGCGTATTTCGATGTTCAGGAAGGTATTACAAGCAGGTACGTGGCCTAACGATGGTGCAGAGGTTGGCTTCCGTCGTCGCATTCGTCTTCATGTCAAAAATCGAGAAACGCGAACTTCGGTAATCTAATCTCTCACTCTTTTGTCGATACATTGACGACTGCTGCATCATACGTCCAACTCAAAATGCTTCGACATTCTGAATAGCCAGTCCCCTAACATGAGATTTACGGGAGATAAACCCGACGAAAATCGTCTAGCATTCCTAAACGTCCAAGTGTCTTTATCTCACGGAGCATACGTAACTAAATGGTTTCGCAAACCCGCTAGTAAGAATATATTGATTCACTACCGCTCTTCGCACCCTTGAAACTTGAAACGGTCCGTGATAGGAAATATGTTCAGGACAGCAAAATCGGTTTCGTCCAATGTTGAACAGCGCAACGTATCGATTAACCTTGCCAAACAGATTGCATATTCTAACGGCTATCCCACAAATAGTGCACCAAGGCATACCTGTAGGCAAGAATGCAGACCGATCGAAATGAACCAGACAACAAAAATGCCACTCTGTGTTCCATTCGTGACTGATGAATTCAGCAGAGCTATCAGAAAATCATTAATACAAGCGGGCTTCGATGATTCCGTCGGAGTTATAGATATACCACCTCCTAATCTCAAAAAACAACTTAGCCGCAGTCGGATATATGACGAATCTGCACGACCGCTGATTGTGTCATCTGCCCGTCAGGAAAAGCAGGCGACTGCATGGAAATGGGAGTGGTTTATCTCATAACCTGTCAAAAATGCAGTGACCAGTACATAGGAGAAACTGGCAGACCCTTGTGCGCAAGAATTAAAGAGCATCTTGACGGCTTTCGAAAATCTAAAATGTCCACACCTTTAGGTGCACATCGAAGGTTATGTCATGAGTACTTTCAAGTCACTGTAACGATCTTGTCGCACGAGTTTGAGTTAATATCCCGCAAAAAGTTGGAGGCCTTTTGGATAGCGTCCAAATCATTAGAAATGAATCGCAAAGATGAAGGCATTGCCACAAGCAGTGAACTGCTCTCTTGTCAAACGCTATGTCGATTCTGATACGAGATCTTCTATGACCATATAAAGGGCATTGTTGACACCAACTATCATACTCACTCATAGCGCAGCTGCAGCGCAGTACTGGTCGTTCGGTCTCTACATCGCGATCTGGCAAGGCTGAGGTCAGGCTTTCAACATCTACTCTGCCACTTCAACACATAGTCAAACTAAATCCATTGCCAAACACGGTGTTTGGGCGGGCAGTTCTCAAAGTCTCGATCTTTCAGGAAGCCCTGAAGAAGGCGGACGGACCGCCGAAACGTTGGCTTTTTGTACAATAAAGTCTTGCTACCAACCTTGGTTAACAGCTTTGGAAAACTGTATTCACAATTTGAATCACAATGCCAAGGTTTATCGACAATCGAGCACGAAGACTAGAACATCTCTAGCTATAGAACCGCATTACCCACAAAAAGCATAGCGTGGATGAACAGAAAAAGCATAGAATCGCTTTGGAAATTCCTAGCTAGATACAGGCAATACTCCTTACCGTCCTGATCTGCAGTGTGTCAAGGTTACCAGTTTCCAAAGAGTAATAGTTTCAAGCCGATTTGTAATGAAAGATCAACAGAAAACAGCAAAAAAAAACACCAAAAAATGTTCATTGCGCTATTGGGCATCTCGCGCCAGGGACAATAGCCTGAGCCGGTGCAAACGCGGCAGACGACGAGGTCCGCTGGTTCCCTAACATCCACTCCCATCAAACTTGATTCGTGCGCAATCTCTCTATGTCCCCACCTGGGCTCTTGAGCTTGCATATTGTGTTGACGTTCTTCCTCATTTTTCAAGTTAATGGTTTGGTTTTTTCTAACATTGACAAAGTAAGTGATTTCCGAATTGACCATCACAACTTTAGGTACATTCCTGTACTGAGTTATTGGATGCCTCATCCTAACTATATTTCCAGGCTGAACGGTCGTTTCCTTTTCTCGACATGCAAAGGAATCGTGATAAACACACCTTTATTTGCCCACCATTGACGGTTGAGATAAGTGCAAGCAAAACAAGCAGCATTTGTAAACCCTAAGGTTTATTGATGAAGTACAGTAATCGAAGAAGTGGACAAGGTTGCTTAGCAAACGCATATGCTACACTGTGTACTTTATACTATGCAAACGTTTGCTATATTGTGGGAAACTTGCAATCATTAAGTTGATTGCGATTTTATGGATTTGTTTTTCCTGTTCTGTACGATTTCATGACGGGAAACATTTTATCGATACCGATCGCTGATGCTAGTTTTAACTTAAGCGATTTATATAAGAATTTTTTTTATAAACACCAACGTGCGATGAAAACTCGTGTAAGAATCAACTTATACAAAAGCAAATAGCCAGTTTTTCTTAGCTCAAGCAAAGGTTGTTCGCTATCCTCCGGACAGCGAGAAATTCTTAGCCGAATTTTTTATCCTGACCGAAGCAAGCGTAACTGAAGCTGTCAAGACTTTGCTGAGCAACGTAACCCGGACGGACGAATGCGCATAAGACGTTGAGCGAGCGGACAGTGGAGACCCAAGGAAAGCTAATTCGTCAATTTTTGCTGTCGTCAACTGCTAATCCTAAAAAGCAAATCTCATCAAAACAACTAGGCTACAAAAATCACAAAACAGTGAATGAATGGTTTACTTGTTTTTTGAATTCATGTTTCACAGATATTTTTCTCGACGATTGAGCAAATAGAGTAGGCAAAAAATGAGCAGAATATAACTGAATGTTGTATACCACCAAACCAGAAATAATATTTATTATTATATTAGGTCGTTCCGAAAGTCATGTCGCTTTTTTCAAACGTACGCCACATCTCGTGGAACAAAGATGTGTAAGAGATTCTGGTAGCGTTTGATGCAGCATCTCATTCTCTTTCTAATGGTTATATAACTATCGCACAAAATTGAATAACGTCTGAAAAAATTTTCGGAATCTGCGACCCAGTTTTTGAGAAGGTCGAGTTTCACAGTTTTTCTAAATTTTTATAACAACCCTCGGAAGGAGTCCAAGTAATGGATGGATAGAGCAAACCCTACGTTTTCAGAGCTCGTCATAATTTCTGTATAGATTTTTTGATGGAAACATTGAATCTTAGCAGGCTCGTCTCAGACACAAATGCATCAAACACCAAGAAATCGTCGGATTTTGAAACTTGCAAAAATGGATATGGTTTTACACTAATTTTACAAAGCAAATGAGCGTTTACCACTTCAGATCAGCAACTTTCGAAAATTCCGGGTACAGCCGGAGGCGCCCTGGAAAATCTGAATTATGATGACTTTATCTCGGAAAACTTGATGAATCGGAAACCAAAAACAACTGGTAAAAAGAGGAGAAAAAGCTGCGTCGAGTGACACACGAGTTGCTTGCCGGTTGTTGTTCTGTGAGGTTTGAGTTGACCAAATATGGAATTGGATTGCATTTAAAACCGATTCCAGAAACTCTCTTCGGAGATTAGGTACAAAATTTTTAGAAAATTGCCAAACTTGACCATGGCAAAAAGCATGAGTCGCAGATTTTGTCAATTTTTCGAAAGTTCAATAAAATTATGCAATGAAATTACAACCATTAGAAAGAGGATGAAATGCTGCATCGAATGCTCCTAAGAACTCTTGAGAATTTTGATTCCATGAAATGTGGCGTTCATTTGAAAAAAACGACATTACTTTCGGAACGACCTAATATATCATTTATTATTTATTATTATTATTTAAAAATTATTTTTATTATTTATTATTTATATTTTTTATGAACACCAACGTGCGATAAAAATTCGTGTAGAAATCAACTTATACCTCAAAATCAAATAGCCAGTATGTTCTTAGAAACCAGGTAAGTAGAAGTCTAAATTTTTTTCTTCAGTTTTTTTTCAATTTCACTCACACACTCGGGTTTATACATAGTATAAGCCGTAGGGTCGCCAGCAAGCAGGTCAGCCGATACATTATCAGCTGCTTCTTTCTGGCTGCAGATCTACAGAACACATTGTGGTAGGAGAATGACTCAAGTAAGAGATGAACTCCACAAGACATGCAGCGTTTCTCAAAACTCCTGCCACAATCTTTAATGATATTAGGTTGTCCGGAAATTAATGCAGGTTTTGAATTTCAACCGCAATAAGTCGTACATTTTTCATTTCTAAGTAGGTTGCAAAACATTATTCCATAAAACAAAACAAGCTCTACAAGACAGCTATCTTGCTTCAGTAACAGCTCTGATCCACCCCGAGTTTTGAGTCAAAAACTAAAAAGATTCAACTGCTCGAAAAATTGAGAAAAATCGTAACTCAATTCATAAAAATCCTACAAAAATTCTATTGAGAAAAACCGTGACTCAGTTCATAAAAATCCTACAAAAATTCTAACTTGCTCACATAAACACAATACACATAAAGCATCGATATACACCGTTGCCATATTTTTTTCTCTGTTGGAAATCAAGAAAACGGAAATTTTCGTGCGTTTGCCAAAGTGGTGCTGTGCTGTTCCTACGTAAGTAGTTGTATACTACAAACCTCTAGAAGTATAAACATAAATTTCCAGCCTTCTACAAATTTTGGTTCTCGAGAAATATGAATTTTAGCTAGGACCACACGACTAGGGAGAACTGTTTTCGATATTTCTCGAGAACCAAAGCTTGCAGAGAGCTGGAAATTCATTTTGTACTTCTACAGATTTGTGGTATACAACTACTTATGTAGGAACGGCACAGCACCACTTTGCAAATGCACGAAAATTTCCGTTTTCTTGATTTTTAACAGAGAAAAAATATGGCAACGGCGTATATAGATGCCCTATGTGGATTGTTTACGTGAGCAAGCTAGAATTTTTGTAGGATTTTTATGAATTGAGTTACGATTTTTCTCAATTTTTCGAGCAGTTGAATCTTTTTAGTTTTTGACTCGAAACTCAGGGTGGATCAGAGCTGTTGCTAAAGCAAGACAGCCATCTTGTAGAGCTTGCTTTGTTCTATGGAATATGTATGTTTTGCAACCTACTTAGAAATGAAAAGTGTACGACTTTTTGCGGTTTAAATTCAAAACCTGCATTAATTTCCGGACAACCTAATAGATTGATCACTCTTCTCTGTAAATCTTCCCCTTTTTAAAATGATTCAAAAATAAAAATCTCGCTCTCCTGCACTCGCCAAAAATTTGCTTCATTTCAACAACTCATGAAAGTTGAGATAGCAAAACACCATAGTTTTCTAAAGTTGAAGAATACCCATGATATCGATGTGCACCACAAAAAACTAACAAGGGAATGGTCAGAAGTCGAAGTGGCCAATCCATACAAGCTGCATACCATTCGATGCAGCATAGAATGCCGATTTCAAATCTGTCTTCGGTATCTGCAGAGCGCCTTTGTAAGCGAAGTTATGATCAGCTTTAGTGCGAAAAAATCTTATACAAAAATTGCGAGATTAGGCACATTATTGCTCTTTTCGCTCACCTTTAGGTACTGACCATATGAAGTGACCTAGTTGCATGTTTTGGTCTTGCACTGAGCCGGGTATGGCTCTGTACGGCCGAGTTTGCCCTTTACACACATAAATTCTTAGCAAAATGATGGCCTTTAACGGGTCATAATTTTGTCCACAAAAGCGCTCTGCAGATGCGAAAGACGGATTTAAAGTCAGCGTTTTATGCTGCACCTAATGGTATGCAGCTTGTATGGATTGGCCACTTCGATTTCTGACCATTCCCTTGTAAGTTTTTCTCTAAATCAATTTAGATAGCAATAAAATCGCTTGTATCAGAACTTTTGCAAGGAGTCTTCTGAGAGTGAAAAGTTACCGAGATAACGAGGGGTTTCTCCCAGAAAAGAATACGACTGGCACCTGTGACTCTGTTGCACTATCTTGCCACGATTTTCAGCAAGTTTTGGAAATACGAAAATAATCAATCGATTATCTTTTGAAAGCGAAAGTTTTGGCAACGAATACAGGCCTACATGCAGCTTACCGTATTCTTCAAAATAAGCAGCCTGCGACTCCTAAAACGAAAATAAGTATTTTCTGACAACGTTTCTCAAGATATCTACACAATGCCACCTTTTAAAGGTTACCTACAATGCGCCACTTATAAGGACTGTCAAGAACCTGCAAAAATCAGTCCATAAATACCTGATTGAAGTGCCCCATGCGCTGCTCACAGATTGATATCTATCTGAAAAAACGGTACGCGGGAGTCACCTACACAAGCAAAAGCTAAACTGCTTTTTCTTTTCTCCAACCTTCAAGCATTTCAAAAGCAAAGCATAGAACTTCAGTAAATTTAACCAACACACGGTAAAAGGCGGAAAAGCAGTTTGTAAAATTAACACACTCGAACAGCGACTCCATCTCGTCGTTACAACACTCGACACTCATAAATGCCTTTCAAAATATGCGTGACCCTTTCACCAAAACATGCTTAGGACACTCAGTTATGAAATTTGACAACTCTTCAAAGCATGCCACCATTGGGAATTCTAAGAACAAAAACAGTTGTTTCCTACACAAAACCAAAGGGCAACGAGCTATAAAGTTGGAGAAGTTGGGTGAAGGGATAAATTCCACCCTTATATATTCGCAGTGATATCGATGCAAAAGCGTCATATTTTTTTGGACTCAACCACAAACTCCGTCAAATAAATAAAAATAAACTGAGACTGTGAATTGTATTTGATGCAGAATTTTCTCTATTCAGCATCTAAGTTTGCGATGCGACTCATACGCGCGCGGAACTAATCTACGAAGCATTCACTTTGTTTTTACTGTGCCTAAATTACGCTAACAAGTTTTATATTTAAGAGTTATGAAGTAGCTTTGATAGCTAGGAAACAGGACAAATTTTTCGCAATTAAAGCAAATTCACTAATGTGGCTTGCTTTTCCAAAAGTTTCTGACATATACCCTAATTTCACACGTATAAGACGCGGGGATTTTTTCCAAAATCGACCAGCCTAGACAAGCCAAAGGACTTCACAACCAAAGGACCCTATAACGTGCTGTATATTGCTTGAGAGAATCGTGCGATGTAAGGATTTCTTTCCGGAATACTGAAACTGCTGAGCGGCTCGCTTGAAAATTCGAAAAAGTGCGCCTTATACGCGTGAAAT